AAAAAAAAAAAAAACACAGACTGTAAAACCCCTCATGTGAACAATGTAGCATATTCATTCAAGAAATATTACTAGCTACCTACTATGCCTGAAGTCAAGTAGGCACTGGGAATTGAGCAGTCAATAAAATAGGTGCTGCCTGCCCAGAGAGTACAGCACAGCAACTGCAGTGTTAGGGCTCCGACATAACCATGGGTTTACCACTGAGCTGTTCATCCTAGAAAACTATTATGTTAAACCAGTTTTAACGACAGCCAATCTCACTAGTTTCTCAGATGTTTATAATCTACATTTCCTCCATCTACCCTGATCTTAAAGGAACTCTTTCTCACAAGGAAAAGAGACTGAATCAGATTCTCAAGTCAGTTCTCATCACTTTATCTTGCAGCTACCAACTATCTACCATTTCCTCTGTGATTTGTCTATCTTCAGTACTTAAAACTGTGAAACTGTCACATCTCCATGGTATCCAAGAAATGGAACATACACAATGAACTCTATGTTTACACAGAGCAGCAATATGAATGAAATCAATAAATTATTTACCTCTGAAGCCCTATAACAATATCTAAATAGTCACTATGCCTAGTAAAAGGTGCTAAATATTAAGTGATCAGAACAAAAGCTTTCAGCCGGGTGGTGGTGGCCCATGCCTTTAGTCCCAGCACTCAGGAGGCAGAGGCAGGGGATCTCTCTGAATTTGAGGCTAGCCTGGTCTACAGAGTGAGTTCCAGGACAATCAGGGCTGTTACACAGAGAGACCCTGTCTCGGAAAGGAAAAAAACAAAACAAAACAAAAACAAAAACTTACTATTAATCTGATAATATATCTTTTGTTGTTGTTTTTCAAGACAGGGTTTCTGTGTGTCACCTTGGCTGTCCTAGAAATAGCTCTGTAGACCCGCCTGTTTCTGCCTCCCAAGCACTGGGATTAGAGGTGTGCACTGCCACTGCTCAATCATGCAACATTTCTAAATTGCCTGATTTATAAAAAGAATTAAACTATTTGTGCCCTATCAAAATGTTAGACACACATGCACTGTATTCTTCTGGGGAACTATTATATTCAAACACTAGTCTTAAATAACCAATTAATCACTCCTACCATTCAAGAGGGAAGAAGGCACAAAGCAAAGAATACATTACAGAATTAGAAAACTAGATTGTTTAGATTTGCAAAGAGCAATTATTCTGACTTCTTAAATGAACAGCTATAGACTAGGGTGAACAAATAGAATTATTACTGTTTACAGAAATCTTCCTTCCTAATCATTGCTTCTATTTGCACACTGGACCTAAACTCCTTTCTTCTGAGAAATCACGTAGTAGAAGAGCAAAGGTAAAGCACTACAGAGTAAGATTTTAAAACATGTAGCACTTTAGGCGCAGGGTTTGTCAAAGTCATCAGTACTGACATTTTGGGCCAGATACGTCTCATGGCAACAGTCATGTGCACTAGAGGAAGCTGTTCACAAGATCTTCAGTGGCCCTTTCCACTAGCCATGACTACCCAATCTCTCAGATATTTGGAAAAGTCCTCCTGAAGCACAACTGTTTCCAGTTAAGAACCTCTGTTTTAAAGAATGCTAGTAACACTCTACCATAGGAAAAAAATAATACAATTTGGATTATGAACTTTCCTATACTTTTCTACAAGATGACTTATAAAATCTACCTTTTGGTAGCTTTCCAGCACTCACTTTCTTTATATAACTAGATGCTAGTATTATGCTCATATACACTTCTCAAAATCATGGCATTTTGAAGAAGCAAAAATACTCTCAAAATTAGTTTTGTCTGAGAATACAAATGTTTATGTCTGTAGGAAGCCCTAGGTTTGATCCCCAGTACCACATAAACAGTGGTGCCCGTCAGTAATCCTGGCAATCCTAATGGCAGGAAGGTCACAAGGTCAAGGTCATCCTCAGCTTCATGAGTTCAAGGTCAGTCTAGGATCAATGACACCATCTTAGACAGAAGTTCCCATTTCTGCATCTCACAAGGTTCTCAGACTTAACCCTTTACTTCTCCATCCGAAGACTAATGTAAAACCTCCTCTTTTAGCAATCTAAGTAACTTAAAATGAACATTCAAACTTTTATTTTATTATTTTGTGTGTGAGTGCTCCCTGCCTATATGTATGTCTGTATACCCTATTTGTGTCTGGTGGCCTCACAGGACAGAAGAGAATGTGGGATCCCCTGGAAATGGGGTTACAGGCAATTGTGACCCACCATGGCATGTATACTGGAAATCAAACCCAGATCCTCAGCAAAAGCAACCCTCTGAGCCATCTCCAGCCCCATAAACATACTTTCAAAAAAGAAAGCAAATTACAGGCTGGAGAGATGGCTCAGAAGTTAAGAGCACTGACTGTTCTTCCAGAGGTCCTGAGTCCAATTCCCAGCAACCACATGGTGGCTCACACCACCTTGAATGAGATCTGGTGCCCTCTGCTGGCATGCAGGCAGAAGAGTGTATACATAATAAATAACATCTTAAAACACACACACACACACACCCACACACACACACACACACACACACACACACACACAGAGCAAATTAAATTTTCACTTTTCCAGTAGAAGAAAACACAGCCAGAATCTGGGAGACATTACTCGAAAGGGACTCAGTGTGACCCTAGCACTCATATAAAAAAGCAGGTGCAGTGGTGTGAACTCCAAACACAGCCCTGGAGCTTGATGACCAGGCAGCCTAGCCTAATCGACAAAGCCTCTAGTCCCATCTCAAAGGACAAAAACAGTTCCTAAGGAATGCCACCTAAGGTTAACGACTGGCCACTACATACAATCAACAAATATTCATGCACTTGCTAGGGGGACGGGAAACACTGAATGTTTACATGTCATTCTTGGCTTCTTCCCTTTCCCTTTCTTTTCTGTATGTGTATGTAGTATGCCAGAACATAATATGTGCATGTATGGCGGTCTGAGCTGATGTCAGCGATCTTTCTCAACTGCTCTTCCTATTCTTTGAGGTAAATTCTCTCAATCCCAGAGCTTGCTATTTGGCTAGTCTGGATAGCCAACTTGCTCCAGGAACGCTCTGCCCTAGCCTTCCCAAGGCTGAAATCAGGCAAGCCACCATCCCAACCAGGGTCCTAGGGACCCAGACTCCAGGCCTCCTGCTTGCACATTAAATGCTTTAACAGCTAACTCGATGGCCAGACCTTAATTTTGGTTGCTAATGGCAAAGTTTATCTGTGATTAAAATGCTAAAGAATGGTCAATTTAATCAAAATTTAAGTGAATTCAAATTCCAAAATCAACATGAAATAATGCTAAAAGGACAGTAAAAGCTTAACAAAATTTAGCTATGGTATTTAAGACCAAAAAAGGAGAGTCATTTATGAAATGTACTTCTAATACTTACTATCTAATTTTTGTCCTGCTATAAAAGTGTCTAAAGCAGAAGCGTAGTCTTTTTGATGGTATTCACACATCCTGTTTGAGAACATTAAAGACAAATTAATACACACACATGAAACCATGGAAAACCTTCTTTCTAAATAAAGATACTTTTTTACTTTCATATGCTAAAAGGGAATTTCAAGTATATGCTAATAAGCCAGAGGGTTTTTTTTTTTTAAATAGCTACTATAACATCTAGATTTTAATACTCCGTTTAGATGAATCTGATTTTAATTATACAAATATATCCATTTCAAAACAATTATTCAAAAGAATTACTTGCTCGGTTAACTAAGTCATGCTCATCTGTGAAAATAAGCAGGGCTTATTAAATACACACAAAGCAGATCAAGTTTTTGTTATTATTACATGTGGCTACCTAGCTCTGTTGACAGAGAACATCCATAAGTTCCAGCCACACTTGGCAGTTACTTCAGTCATCACTACTTTAAAGTCATACATTATCTCATACTTCAGTTAACATACTAGCATAAGTTAGTACTCTAAGGTTACAACATAAATAGCTTATAACAAATCAACATATAGTCCAAACCCATGGGTCTATTACATACCCTTTCCTCAGGATAGCAGTAGGATTATTTGGATTGAGTTCAAGAGACTTCTTTACATCAGCAATACCATCTATATATAAAAAGGTAAGGATGTTTAGTCAGGTATTTACAGGGCCAGCATATACTACACATCAATTTGAATCAGGGCCATCACAATGTTTCAGCAGTATCGGTACTTGTCGTCAAACTGACAACCTAAATTGAATCCCAGAACTCACATGGTAGAATACAAATGGACTCCAGTTGTCCTCTTTCTATCCTCCATGTGTGTACTATGACATACACAAGCTGACACACAAAGACACATAAAATAATGTAAAACAAATAAGTCAGTATTTTATTTCTAACCTCTTAAATTGGTAAAAGACCAAATCATTTTAATTAAGGAGAAACTAATCCAAGATAAAATGTAAGTATTACTTTCATATCTTGCTTGTGGTCTAATATTTGGCCTATTACTAAATTGTGTGTGTGCCTGTCTGCTGAGCAGACTGCAGGTCCCAGGGAGGCTACAAGAGAGGCATCACATCCACTGGAGCTGCAGTTACTGGCGTTACTGTGAGCAGCCTAACCTGAGTGCTGAGAACAGAACTCAGGCCCTCTGGAAAGAGTAGTATCCATTCTTTTAACTGCTGAGGTCTCTTTCCAGCCCCCTTTAGCTTTCTTCCTTAAAGTTCATCTGTCATCAGTAAATGAAGCTGTGTCCCAAAGCTCATCTCTTTTTCTCATTAACAATATTTATGAAATTCAAGGCACTAATTCTCCCCCCACAACACAAACACTCATTTTTTTAAAGTCACATAACTCAGAAATACATTCATTTTCATTAAAAATTGCTAACAAAAAATAGTGTACATGAAGCACTATTCAACAGGGAATAAACAGCCGTCTCCATAAATTCTCTGCCCACTGAAGGAAAGACATCTATAAGTGTTAAATCAATGTTACTCAGCAGGTTTCTTTCATGAAAAACCATGTTAAAAATCCTCAAAGATGGTACTGAGGAGATGGCTCAGCCAGGGAAAGCCTCCATTGGTAAACACAAAGATCTATATTCAACCCCCAGCACCCCATGTAAGAACTCCAGATGTGGTCACTTATAATCCCGGATGCTCACCGGACAGCACAAGCAGTCTAACCTACCTAGTAAGCTCCAGGCCAATGAGGCATCCTGTCTTCAAAGAGATGGAAAGCATACCTGAGTGCACTCAACACTATCCTCTGGCTTCCCCAGAGGCACAGGCACACGCTAACACAACCCACAAAGACTCCATTTCTTTCTTTCTTTCTTCCTTTTTTTTTTTTTTTTTTTTTTTGGTTTTTCGGGACAGGGTTTCTCTGTGTAGCTTTGAAGCCTATCCTGGCACTCACTCTGTAGACCAGGCTGGCCTCAAACTCACAGAGATCCACCTGCCTATGCCTCCCGAGTGTTGGGATTAAAAGCATGTGCCACCAACGCCCGGCTCAAAGACTCCATTTCAACATCCTAACTTGGGCAAAATTTATAAGTAAACTACAAAATGGTTTGTAAAAAACATTACCAAGGTGTTTCCCAAGAAGCATGTGACAATAAGCTCTCTGACAGTAATACTGTGCATCCTTTGGATTATGTTCCAAAGCCTTAGTCAGCTCCTAAAAATACAAACATGTAGAAGGTCAGTAAATAATGTTTAACACCATCACATTCTAATTAAAACATAACTTAAAGTCAACCTGTGAACACAAGCTATTGGAGGAAAAAAACAAAGGAAACAAGCTTAGAGCTCTTCACTGTAAAAGAATCACTATTTCCCTCTTTAAGAGCACAATAAAGAGTAATTATATCATCTCATTTATTCCAAAAGAGCTGTTGATATACATAGACCAGCTCAGAATTCCTCATTTAAAGAAGGCCCAAATACCATGTAGAATTTGAGGTGCTATCCAACTTAAAAACAAAACAAATGGAAACAGAAAACTCAAAACAAAACAAAAAACCTTAAAGTTAAAACTAGCAAGGCAGGCAGGCATTGGTGGTGCTACTGAAGGGTGTTTGGCCTAAGATATGGAATGTCTTACGAAGATAACAGAATACTTGATCTAAGGTGTGATTACTAGAAGTCTTAATCCCCAAGGCCAGATAATAAGAGGTTTGATCTAAGGCGTAGTTACTAAATGTTTTGTGAATTAAGGAAGTAATTACATTTGTCTGTTCCTTGTATCATTGGCAAATTTTTTGTGTTTTCCCCCTTTTAGTTGGGGGAATATAAGAACTTAGAGCAAAAAAACTTAAGGCAGGCCAGGCGTTGGTGGCACACGCCTTTAATCCCAGCACTTGGCAGTCAGAGGCAAAACAAACAAACAAACAAAAAACCCTTAAGGCAGATCCCAGTATTCACTGGATGCCCTCCCAACTCTTATCTTCTATTTCTTTCCTCAATCCACACTCCCCCTTCTCAGGTACAGACTGGGCAAATAGGCTGGACCTGACATAAATAGCAACAAAAACAGTTGTATGGTTGGGGGTCACCACAACATGAGGAACTGTGTTAAAGAGTCACAGCATTGGAAGGCTGAAAACTATTGGACTAGTGTTCTCTTTCCAGAAGAACACAACAATTCATCCTCTTACCTCCTTAGTAACAAAACTATACCAGAGACCAGATTCAAATCAGGTCTATCAAGCCCCAGATTAGAATTTACACAAAACAGAAGCACCTCCCAGCTCACTGAACTCCAAAGCTTCTCTCACCATCTTACCTGTATTGACGTTTTCTAACGTTTTGAAATCCCAAGGCTAAGTAAATCTTGTACCTAACTTTTAAAGCAATTTTGAAAATAGAAAATGGGCCAAGCATAGTGGCACAAGCCTTTAATCCCAGTACAGTGGCAGTGATATGGATCCCTGAGACCAGCCCTGTCTATGTATAGAATTCCAAGACGATCTGGGCTATATAGATTTTTTTTTTTAATATACCCTTTTTTCCCCCATAAATGTGCAGATAGGCAGAGTGCGTCCCTACTGGATACAAACCTCTCTTTTTTTGTGTCCTCTTACAAAATTTTTTTCAGGGCTAAAGAGATGACTCAGAGGTTAAGAGCACTGGCTGCACTTCCAGAGGTCCTGATTCAATCCCCAAAAACCACATGGTGGCTTACAGCCATATATAAGATCTGGTGTCCCCTTCTGCCATGTAGGCAAAACATTGTATACATAATAAATAAATCTTTTCTTTGAAAAAAAAAAGAATTTTTTCCTGTATTTAATCACGTTTTTACCCACCCCTAATTCCTCCCAGACCCATGCAACCTCATGTTCTCTAAAAAGCAAAAAGCATATGAAGCTCACTTTGTGTTAACTGATTGATTACTCCTGATTTTTCCCTTTACATCAGGTATCAATGGCAGTTTCTTGGTTAGGGGTGGGACCCCATGTCCATTTCCCCTTCTCAGTGTGGTAGGACTTGAACCTGTGGTGTAGGACATGCTGCTTCAGTCTGAGTTCTTATGTACATTTGTCCTGTTGTGTCTGGAAGGCATCGTTTCCCTGGAGTCATCACCTCTGGCCTATCTCTCAGCAGCCTTTTCCCTTTAGATTCCCATCCTGAGCCTGTCACAAAGGAGTTGGATATAGATATCCCAGTTAGGACTGAGTGCTCGTGTCTCTCTGTCTCTGTCTCTGTCTCTCTCTCTGCACATGGTCCAGTTGTGAATCTCTATGACAAAACCCTTTTTCAATCCCCAACATTACATAAAAACAGGCAGGGTAATATATGATTGTAAGACTATAATCCCAACACTAGAAAAGGAGAGGCAGGAAGATCTTTAGTTCAAAATCATCCTTAACTTCATAATGAGTTCCAGGGTCAACCTGGTTTTCTCTGTATTAAACTGAAATTTAAACACACCCCCAGTTATGGTGGCACAAGCCTTTAATCCCAGCACTCTGTATGTAGGCAGAAGCAATTTCAAGGTCAATGTATACTACAAAGATTTCCAGGACACCCAGGGCTGTTACTCAGAGAAACCCTGTCTCTGAGAAACAAACCAAAAAAAAAAAAACAAAATACACACCCCCTTAAGAGAACTTACTACTGTGTAACTATGTAGTAACTGCTAAGTAGCCCTGGCTGGCTTCAAACTTGCAGCCCCTCTTTCAGCTCTCCTGAATTCAGAGATTACAAGCATGAGACAGTTTATATAGTCCTCTTAAAAAGTCAAGTAAAAGCTTCAGTATTTAAACCACCTTTGTAAATGAACTTTAAACCGATTAATCAGTTGTTAAGAAAAATACGTTTTGGTGGTAACAGTTCAGTTTCATAAAAACGCAACCAACTTGGTAAAGCTGTTACTAAAATGAGGTTTCCAAAACAAGCACACAAATAAGCAAACTAAAACAAGTTTAAAAGAATGACAAATTTATAAATGGATAGTGATTTTTGAATAAACAAATTATAATGAAGCCTGAAGCAAATCAAGTTAAGGTAATGATCTGTGGTCTTAACTACATCAATCTTATAGTATGCTTTGAACTGGTAAATGGAAGCACCTGAAGAGGCATCGTCTTCAATGCTAACACTTGAATCACAGCAGCAATGGGCTATTAATTAGTGCAGACCTAAGCAAAAATATTGAAAGCATGCCCATAAATACACTTGCAGAAAGCGGAGTTATGTGGGTTCATCGGTAGCACTTGAATAGCATCAGTCCCATTACCACAAAGAAAAAGAAACAAGCAAGCAAAACCTACAGTGAGAAGTATCCCACTAACCAGAACAATAATGGGAAGGGAGGTGTAAGGCATTAAAATTGATACTTTGGATGGATTGGGGATGTAGCTCAGTTGGTAGAGTACTTGCCTAGCATACATGAAGCCCTGGGTTTGATTCCCCACACAACATAAAACTGGGTATGGTGACACAGGCCAGTAATTCCAGGAGGCATGGGAATCCGAAGTTCAAGGTCCTCCTCAGCTATATATGAGTTGAGCTAGCCTGAACTATGTGAAACCCTGCCCCAATAAACAAATAAGACTGGGGCTTTGAAACTGGGGCTGTAGGAGGAGGCTTTGTGGTAGACCATGCACTTAGCATGCATGAGTACCTGGGTATAAACTCTAGGAAGGTTCCTGTTCCCCCCCCCCCATAATTTTTTAATTAAGACTCTTAGGAAATTTTGAAATATTTAAAATTTTAAGCCCTTTAAAAATGCTACTTAAGGTTCAAAGAACCTCTGGATATGTCTCAATCTTGTTACTCCTCTTTTCCACAGTCATATAGCTAAGTTCTGAGCATCAATCCATTTCAAAGCATTGAGCACTGCTGCAGAGAAAAACATCTGAACTGATTACCACTTCCCGTTAATCAATCCCAGCTCTGCTCAACAAAGCTACTTCCAAGTCAGCTACTAGCTTGTGTATCATATATCCCCAGTCCTCCCCCTCCAGCAGATGACCTTGATCCCTTGAAACCAGATACCTGTTGCTTCCAAGCCTTTTGCTTTCACCAAGTTAACCTTTTCACTCTTTTATTTCAACTGCCTACTGAGTAAAATGTAGCTAATGCCATCAGCAAACGTTGCAAGAATCATGCAGAAGAGCTTGCCCATCACGAGTACCAAGTGCTACACTGAGAACAGAGGAGTAATCAAGATACACAAAACTCCTACTTTTTTTTGTTGTTGTTGTTGGTTTTTCCAAGACAGGGTTTCTCTGTGGCTTTGGAACCTATCCTGGCACTCACTCTGGAGACCAGGCTGGTCTCAAACTCACAGAGATCCACCTGCCTCTGCCTCCTGAGTGCTGGGATTAAAGGTGTGGACAACCAACACTGGGCTTCGAAACTACTTTCATGCCTAATTCAGATTTACACAGGAAAGCTAGTTCCTCTGAGCAGGGTTCACTTGAGGTGAATTCTAAAGAAATAAACCTTCCCAGGTAAAAAATGAGATATAGGTCAAGTATATTTTTGGGAAAAAGAAGTAGACCTGAGTTAGAAGCACTTGCAACAGTACAGCTCTATAGAGTCCAGCTCACCAGAGACCCTGCCAGCCATTATAAGGAATTTGGACCTTCAGTGTGAGGGAAGGTCATGGAAAGTTTTAGTACAAGTGACATGACCCAACTTATATTTTAAAGTTGTCATTCTGGCTACTGTATCATTAATACAGTAAAATAAAGATGATCAGAAACAGTATCAGGTCCCCAAAGAAATATCTTTCCCCAAAGCTGGCATTTAGACAAAAGATAGCATTCCCTCAGAGGCTTCCTACATGCTAAAAGTAGTTATTCTGTGTATCTCTGGGAAAGGGACATATGTGGCACCAGTTAGCATGTCAAGGTCAACGCTAGGCTCCCTCACTCCCTACTTACAAGCACCCCCCCCCCAGCTCACAGGCTCCCTTCCTCCCAAGTACCCATTCCCACAAAATTCAGGAGATTCCCCTACACACATACACACACACCCCTTATTTCTCTGCTTTGCCTTGGCAGTTTAGAATGAACTTTCTCCCCCTTTTCACACACGAGCATCTATTTTGATTTCTTTACCCATTTTTATTCAAACAGAAAAAACTAACACATAAGTCCAGAATGTGTGGAAGCCACTGAAGTTATAGAATATTACATGGAATACACAGGAAGGAGCAGCATCTGTCGATGACCCTAGGACTTTGGGGGCAGCCTAGATCTGTACCCAACACCCAATCATTTCTTCCGTTCTCGGTCCTCCCCATATTCTCATTTATTTCCTTTGTCAGAAAAGAAATTTTGCTTCCAGTCTTAAATCTCAAAGTCATTAATGCCTTTTTGTTTGGTTTTGTTTTGTTTTTCCAGACAGAATTTCCCTGCATAGTCCTGGCTGTACTTGAACTCACAGAGATCTCTCTTTCCAGTCTGTCCTTCCCAAAAGCTGGGATTAAAGGCATGCACCACTACCACCCAGTTTGCTAATCCCTTGTTTTGGAACCGAATTATCTGTTTCACCTGATGATCACTCGGTGAACCTAACAATACAAAACCAAACTTGAAACTTTCAAACAACTATATAGTTCTACTAGTCTGCTAGCCTCTGGAAAAGCGGTTTCTTTAAGTCTCGGGATGTAAAAATGTTTCCCCCTTCCTAGCAAGATTCTTGAGCTCTGAAGGTCAGGCAGGGTTTCACACATCCAACTCATAGCCTCAACTCACTATGTCGCTGAGGATGACCTTGAATTTCTGACCCCTGTACATTCCTCCTGAGTACTGGGATTACAGGGCCTTCCCCACCATACTGACATATGCTAACGACTCTCTCCAGCCTGGCCACTGCTCTTAGCAACATCCGTACAAAGATAGTTTGTTCTAGAATTCACCAAAAATAGCCCAGAAACAACTCATACAACATTATAAAAATTTAGGCAGGGCATGGGCTGGAGAGATGGCTCATCAGTAAGAGCACTCACTGCCTGTTCTCTCAAAGGTCCCAGTTCAATTCCCAGCAACCACATGGTGGCTCACAACCATCTGAAATGAGGTGTGGTGTCCTCTTCTGGCCTGCAGGCATACATGTAGGCAGAATACTGTATACATAACAAACAAAAAGTTTTTAAAAAATAAAAAAAGGCGGGGCTTAGTGGTGCATCTCAAGAAATCACAGGATCCAAAGTTTAAGGACAGCATAGGTATATATAAACGCGTTTCTTTTTTAAACTGTACGAAGAACAAGGACAACCATCTTTAAAGTAAATGTTCTTTAGTAAACTTAGTCAATCAAGTACTCGTAACAGTACCTGGGCAACCATAACTGTCAAAACTAAAAAAATGCTACATTAAGCCCTATCTTCGCCTTTTCCTTGACCATAAACGCCAATAAATGAAGTCGTTTCAGGCCAACCACAGGTGGCAACTATGTGCCTGCGTCTGGGGAGTATAAAGGCAAGATCTATGGCAAAAGGGTCGCTGGGGGACAAAGAAATGGATCTCACGACCATAATACTGGGCCTGAGACACACTGAAAATTGTAGCTTTAGTCCCACGAAGGTAATGCTGGGAAGCAGCGGAGTCGGTAGGAACCCAACAATCCCAGTGCGAACGGAGCAGAAATGAACTCACTCACCTCTAACGCCGCCTGGGGGTCCTCGTCGATCAGAGCATCTGAGAAGCTCTGGGAAAACCTGCCAGGAAAACAACGACTTCAGCAGGGCTCACTAACCAAGGAAAGAACAGCAAGACACACAGCAAAGGGGAGGAAAAATACGCACCGCTGGGACGTTGCAGATCCTGCTGCAGGTGCCGCCATCCCTAAGAGCCACTAAAGCTTCGGCCCGAGCGTTTTCTACCTTGGTTACCACCTCTGCCGCGGCCCAGGGGGGGGAAACTTCTGAAGACACACCAACAGAGCTTCCGTCCTCGGCAGCCAATCAGCAGCCGCGCAGCATGCGGCCGCGGAAAAGGAAGCGGAGGGCGGGCAGATGGGCGCGGGGCCCGCTGGGAACGAGGAGGACACGCTCCCCGGCCCCGCCCCGTGTCGGTGACGCGCGCCAGGTCCCGCCCCGGGGGCGTGGTCATGGCGCCGGCGCCCCGCCGTCCGCCCGTAGGGGTTCCGCAGGGCTTGCGGGAGCTCTAGCGTGGTCTCCAAGCGGCGCTGCCAGGCGCCGGGACCCGTCGGGGGAGTTCGCGGCTCCGCTAAGGTGCGCCACGTTAAGCACCGTTTTCTCTGGTTTTCAACATGGCTGCCGCGGGCGGCCAAGCTGTGCGTGACGTCATCCGTCGCTGCCAGGTCTTCTTCCGGCCGCGGAGCCGGCTATGGCGCGTCGGTTCGTACGACCGTCAGCGGGGAGCTCCGACAGGCCGGCTCGCCGGAAGTGGCTTTACGGACGGGGAGAACGGGGTTTTCCGCAGGCGCTGCCGGATCCTAGCGCTCCACACCCCAAACTTCCTTCCTGCTCGGCCTTCCAAACCAAGAAAAGCCTGTTTTGCAGGCAGCGAGCGAATGAAACTTGGCCTAAATTGTCTTAGGGGTGCCTCGCGTGCTAACTAACGGGCCAGGCCTCCCCTCCCACCCTCGCCGCCCTTAGAGCCAAACGTCAGACTGGGAAGCTTCCTGTGCGTTGTTTGAGGCGAAGTGGTAACGGGCCACAGGAGGGAGTGGGCGTGAGTGGCTCAGTAGAGCAAGGAACAGAATTAAAGTACCCGCTGCCCCAGACTTGATTTCAGAGCTCCGGAAGTCGTTTTACAAAACGAATGAGAGGGTGGTCGATGTCTAAAAAGAATCACTGCAGCTGCAACAGATAACGGGGGTGGAATTTGAAAATAGAAGGAAACGTGAGCCCATGCTCAAGCTGGAGAAATGGAAGGGCACGTGAACTAAGTACGTGCCGAGTCATCAAGAGATAGCGGTGTGGAATGCTAAAAAAGTTTAAAGTGTAGGCGTGTCCCAGCTGTACAGTGAATGGGTGGTTTGAGGGGGAAAGACAAGTGTTAATGGAAGGTAACAGGTCAAGCACAGGAATCTGAATCCACTGACTTTAAGAATGGAGGTGTGAGAGAGACTTTGAGACTGTACAGGGCCTGCTGGCCGCTACACTGAAAGAGGTGCAGGTTTCTGGGTAAGCTGGTGAGAAGATACAGTTAGCTGAACTAAAAAAAAAAAAGAAAAAGAAGCCGGGCGTTGGTGGCACACGCCTTTAATCCCAGCACTCGGGAGGCAGAGGCAGGTGGATCTCCGAGAGTTCGAAGCCAGCCTGGTCTCCAGAGCGAGTGCCAAGATAGACTCCAAAAGGTACACAGAGAAACCCTGTCTCGAAAAAAAAAAAAAAAAAAAAGAAGAGAAAAAAGCTGGGCAGATTTGTAAAGGAAGGTAGAGGGTTTCAGTCTGGATCTTTTTTTTTTTTTTTTTTTTTTTTTTTTTGAGACAGGGTTTCCTTGTGGCTTTGGAGGTTGTCCTGGAACTGGCTCTTGTAGACCAGGCTGATCTCGAACTCACAGAGATCCGCCTGCCTCTGCCTCCCGAGTGCTTTAGTCTGGATCTTTTGAGTTCAAGGTTGTTCTAAGTTTCTGTGTACCAGAAGACACCATAAAAAACAAATGTGCAGAGATGAGAATTGTCTTTTGCTAAACCTCTTTGAAGCAAATGTTGGTTTTCTTCAGTTTCCAGTTCTCTGTATGTCTGGATGTACTTATTTCTCGGGAATATTTATTGTAGATACCTATGCCAGCTGTCATCTCATTCTCTTATTATCTGAAACAAGTTTAATGTTGACAATTTATAATTAGTTCTTTGTGTCATATGTAAGACTGCCTACTCAAAGGCTATGGAAATATTTTCTTTTAGATCATTCACTTTCCATGTTTAAGTCTATTGTCTATAGTTGTCTTTGACAACTTTTGTAAAAGTATGACAGTAGGGATAAAAGTTCATTTTCTCCTCCATAAAAATACCAAGTAATCCAGTGCCACTTACTAAAAAGTTAATTTCCCCCTAAATTTGATGGCAACTTTATTGTTCTATTCAAAATTCAAGGCATCTTCTTGGAAACAGAAGTGCCAGGCCTACCAGCTCATTCATTTTCTAGAATGAATTTTCCAGTCTTAAGTATATTTGTTACAGTAGCACATATGAACTGCTGTCTTTCTATGTAGTGGAGAACTCTACTAGCCTAACTTAAGAGATTTAGTTTAGGGTCCGGCTGGTAAAAGCATGTGTTAAACAAGCCTGGAAAACTGAGTTTGCTCCCCAGGACTTATGTCAAGGTGGATGGAGAGAACCAGTTCCACCAAGTTATTCTTTGACCTTCACATTCATGATCTTTATTTACCCACACACACACACACACACACTCTAAAAAGATTTGGTTTAGCTGGGTTTTGTGACACACACTTTTAATCTCTAATTGTGAGACAGACAGGAGGATTACCAAGACTAAAGGTCAGCCAAATAGTAAATTCAAGATCAGACAGAGCCTATACATTGAAACCCTCTCTCGAAAAATACCAGTTTTCTCCAAGTTGTTTATAGTATACTAATATTATGTACCTTTAAAAATGTATTAGTATGCTGGAGAAATGGCTCAGAGGTTAAGAGTACTACCTTCTCTCCCAGGAAATTAGAAATTCAATTCCCAGCACCCACATGGCAGCTCACACCCATCTATAACCCCAGTCTCAGGTATCCAACACCTTCTGGCTTCTACAGGTGCTTCACAAACATACACATATATATGTGCATGTATATACACATGTAGACAAAGTACATTGTGCTGTGAATGAGAATGGCCCCACAGCCTCATAGACTTGAGTGCTTGGTCACCAAGGAGTGGCACTATTTGAAAGGATTAGGAGGTATGACCTTGATGGGGGGAGTGTGTCACTGTAGGTAGGCTTTGAGGTATTAAGTGCTCAGACCATAAAAGTTGCCATGATCATGGTGTCTCTTCATAGCAATAGAATACTTAAGACACACATACACGGGGCTGGAGAGATGACCCAGAGGTTAAGAGCACCAACTGCTCTTCCAGAGGTCCTGAGTTTAATTCCCAGCATCCGTTAAAACCATCCGTTAAGAGATCTGGTGTCCTCTTCTGATGTGCAGATATACATGGAAGCAGAATGTTGTATACATAATAAATAAAATCTTTTTTTAAAAAAAGACACACACATCAAATGTTTTTAAAGTTATGTATTGCCAGACAGTGGTGGCATACATCTTTAATCCCAGCACTTTGGAGGCAGAGGCAGGTGGTTCTCTATGAGTTTGAGGCCAGTCTGGTCTACAGAACAAGTTCCAGAAAAGCCAAGGCTAAAGAGAAACTCTGTTTTGAAAAGAGAAAAGTTACATATTAGTCCTGGCACATACCTTAAATCCCAGCATTCGGGAGCAAATGCAAGCAGAACTTCTGAATTCATGGCCAGCCAGGAGTACATAGTAGACTTTGTTTCAATACATACACACACACACACACACACACACACACACACACACACACACACACACACACACACTGTATACTAATGTGTGATAATTAGTAAGTTAACCACTGAGAGAGTAGTATACCATATTACAGATATTTTTTGTTTTCTTGAATTTTTCTTTTTCCATTCCTGTACGTGCACCCAAACATTTTTTAAAAGTGTACTTAGAGCCCCAGCCTCAGACACAAGAAGTTTATTTATTTAGACTCTCTGAAGACAGAGTCTCATTTAACCCAATGTGGCCTCAGACTGACTGTGTGCCTGAGGATGGCCCTGCTCTATGTCCCTGAGTTCTTGTGAATACAGGTTTGCACTATGACACCTACTACTCTGTGAAAAGCCTTATAAAATCCAACAAGTCTTGCCTCACAAATTGCTTTTTTATACATCCCGGGACTACCTGCCTAGGGATGGCACCACCCACAGAGGGCTGAACCCTCCTAGCCAGTCAGTCTGAGGGAGGCATTTTCTCAGGTGAGGGTACGTCTTCCCAGGTGACTCTAACTTTTGTCAAATTGACAAAACCTAACCAGCAAAAGAGGTCATGAGAGCAGAGGTCATAGCCTAATGGATGATTGTCGTTATTTTGGAAGTAGATTTGTTATCAGTACATTCTCCTCTTGCTCAACTGCTGTTTTTCCACCTTAATTAGTAATAAAAATGGACTACATCATTGGCATTTTATTGTGTGACATCTAGAAACTGTCATATGGTATGGCAAAAGGAAAAGATAGCCTCCTGCAACTTTGACCAGGAGTCTCGAAGAAACATCTGATCCTCTGGTACCACTGTAAATACTTGTGTGTGTGTGTGTGTGTGTGTGTGTGTGTGTGTGTGTGTTCTTTAAGAAACATTTACCAGGGCTAGTGTGAAGGCTCATTGGGTAAAAACACTGTGCAAAAACACTGAATTGTAGTACCCCGGGAACCCATGTGGAAGAAAAGAAGCATCTCCCAAAAAGTTGCCCTTTCCTCTGTGTTCACACTCAAGCATGCACATGGATGTGCACACAGTATGAGACACTTGCCAGGTATGGCATGTGCCTGCACTCAGGAGTCGAAGGCAGGATGATCACTAGTTTCAGGATAACACGTGTGTCTGGGAGGCCTTGTGTCAAAAAGCAAAAGAAAGACTAGAAACACTTGCTTGAAAACAGAAATATTGAGAACTTTACATGATTTAATAATAAACAATTAAAGATACAAAAAACGTTTAGAGGATTCCAAAATTTAAATTTTTGTTTAAATACAAATTCATTTTATAATATGAAAACATATAATATTAGCCCTCTAACCATAATGATTTTTCTTCTACAAAAGTTTCTGTACTAGAAAATTTGCAGACAACAATTTCTTGTGACATTAAATGTACATTATTTACAATTGAAAAAGTAATCTAAGAACTCTACTTCAGAAACTTGGATATATGTTATCTTTGTATGCAATTTCCTTCCCCCTTCACCCA